CACACACACACACACACACACACACACACACACACACACACACACACCTGTTGCTATGGAAACCCAGAGATCTGCGAGAGGGGGGCTCGCAGTCTCCCCATCCAGAAGCCCGGACAGCCCTTAGTGAAACGCCGCCGCCCAGAGCTAACCTCTGGCTGGCCCCGAGCAACTTAGTCGCCGCCGGCTGCGGCTGAGCCCTCCGGACTGGCAAGCTGCCGGCAGGGAGGGGATGCCATGAGACAGCAGCCTTTCCCCGGAGGAGTGGGGCTGGGGGGTGTCGTCATGGCTTTGATCTCCTCCGTCCCTCCGGGAGACTCGCGGGGGTCTTGGCTCGTCTGGCGCTTTTGTTGACGCCCGCGAAGTAGTGCCCGCGTGTTTCCACGGAGGGGCGCTGGCGTACGTTTTAATGCAGCAAAATGAATGAAGAGAGCGGGCGCAGCGCCGGAGGGGGTTGAAACAAGCCCCACGGCGGCGGGAGGAGAAGGCTTGGGCAGGTGCACACAGCAAGCAGGGGGGCGGCACCAGCCGGAGCCTTGTGCCCTAACCCTTCTCTACGCGAACCCCGGGCAGGAAAGGCACCGTGCCACGGCCGCTCTCTCGCCTCTCCCTCTTGCGAGCACAGGCAGGCAGGCGAGCTGCGCCGCCACCACCACCACAGACCGCTCGCCCGCTGCTTTCCAAGTTTCCCCGTGGAGGGAGGGTAACCCAGTTGGCCGGGGCTGAAGGAGACCGTCCGCCCGCTCTCGCGGCCGCCTCGCGCGCAGAGGACACTCGCCATTCCTTCCCTGGCACGCGCGCGCACACTCCTCTCCGCTCCCCCCCCAGCCATCTCACACACATAGACACAGACACACACACCCTCTCTGCTGGCATGCGACCTGGAAAGCGGCTGCTCTGTGGCCCCGGGAAGGCGCCGGGCGAGGGACCCCAGTCGCCTCCCTGCTCCGCGCCCCTCCTCTAACCGGGGGTGGGGGGAGGTCAGGACCGCATCGACCGACCAGCTTCCTGGCGAAGGAAGAGGACGGCGAGTTTGACGCGCCGACGGCGGGGTTCCTACACGTTCTCCTCCTCCTCCTCCTCTTGCTAGCCCTCCTCTGTTCCGATGCCCGGGCGGCGAGCGCGCCGTTCTCGCCGGCTCCCTTGAGGCAGACGGGGTGGCGCGTCCGGAGCTGGCGAGCGCCAGGCAGAAGACAGGGGCTCCAGACGGCCGGCGAACTCCCGTAGCCTTGTGGTCAGCCTGCCGCCCTGGACCGGCCGAATGGCTTCCTTGTACCAGCGCTTCGGCGGGAAGATCAACACCTCCCGTTCCTTCCCCGTCACGCCCGAAGCCAGCCATCTCCTAGGCCCCCAGTGCTCCGAGGAAGACGGGGCCGCCGCCGCCGCTGCTGTTGCTGCCGCCGCCGCCTCGGCCCACGCGGTCGCCGGAGCAGCGAAGGCTTCGCGCCCGTCGCACCTGCACAACCCCAGACCTCGCTTCCAGTACCAGGCGAGGAGGAGCGACGGCGAGGAGGAGGATGTAAGCCAACCCCTGCCTGGCTCGGGGGGCAGGACGCGGGTGGGAGAAAGCCGGGCTCCTCGCCTCGGGGTTCCGCGCCTTCCGCCCCTCCGCTCGGACGGATGGAGAAGTCGTGGCAGTAAGAAGGGCTGAAGCGCCGGGGGCGGGGGAAGAGAGAGAGAGGCTCTGCGGAGACTTTCCTTACTCTCCATCCTACGCACACCGGTTTTGGTACAGGGATCTAGAGAGTATTCATGAGAAAACTCGGGGTCTCCCTTGGATTTAAGAGATGGATTAGCTAAAGGTTTTCTCTTAGTAGAAAAGTTAAAAGGTTAGCAGATCTTCGGGAAAAGAGTCGCGTTGGAGCAGTTTGCAAACGATTGGAGAGAGAATAGTTCACAAACAAATTTCTCTTCCCTTTTCCTCTCCTCTCCTCAAAGCTGAGAAGCGATCAAAAGTAGATTTTCAAGAGGCATGGAATACGTTGGGAGCATAAATTTGAGCAACATGTGCTTTTGCTGGTTCAGATTCTTGCATCTCTCGTTCTCCCCACCCTCTTCTCCAATCCCCACTTTCTTCCCCACCTTTACTTACTTTCTTGGAGAAATTTCAAAGAGTTTGTATTTGCATATCTCCTTAGTAACCTCCGACTTATCCAGGACACTTACTGGTTCTGAGAAGGATGGTTGGGGGGGAAAAGGAAGTTGGAATAATCTGGAAATCATAACTCTTTGTTAAAGAAAAAATGTTATTTTAGTAATTTAATTGATGCAGTTACTAGTTTAGCCTGGGAAGGGCGCCTGTTCCTTGAAGCTGGTTCATGTGGTTATGTATGTTTGTGTGCACTTATGTTTGTGCAAATGGAAGCAAAGCCTCCTTTAAATTTTGTTTTCACTTTGTGAATTCTTGGGATGTTTCTACACAAGTAGAGGCATATTTTGTGTGTCTAGCTTACAATGGTTTCCATATCCAAATGCTAAGGCCAACTCTGCCTAGTTTTCTAGATCAGGCGTACAGAGGGCTCCTACCAATTCAGTGTTAATTCTTTAGCTTGCAGAATTGCATCATGTCATAATTCAGTTTGTGTTACTGTAGTGATTGTGTGTATATGTGTATGTATGTGCGTACATGTGCTCTCATCTATTTGTACAAATACAATAAAAAATAAAGAGGAGGATTTTCAAAGTTCATTGTGTACACTACCTCCTAAGTATATTTATTTTTAAATATTCCTTCCTCTAAAGTTGTATCACTATAACAGCTTTGCTCAGACCTTGGTTAGAAAAGACAAGGGTAATTAGCATAAAATTAATAAAAAGAGAAGCAATTCCTTTTACTAAAAATCACTGCTGAAAAACTTTTGTAAGGAACCAAGAGGAGGTTGCCTTTTGTTCCTTTTTATTTCTTATTTGAGAGAACATTTATCTTTAAATAAGTATATAGATATCTTGCAAAGTGTCCAGCAGTTCTGTTACATTCAGCGCTTCCAGTGAAGTGTGCTTTGTATTACATTATAATATTTAGTAGAAATAAATAAGATATAAATCCAGGTGACACAGAATCTTAAAGTTAATTCACTTTTCTCTGGTCTAGGATAATGTTTTTGCTGTTGTGGGGCATATTCCTGGCATTGCCCTCTAGGTGGCAGTATAAGAAAGCAAACTTTCCTTTTTCTTTTTCCTTTCTTTTTCCTTTTTTTTTTTTGACATTCAGCTAACAGTTTGTATTTTACCTGCACCAAATTTTGTATATAGCAAAAACCTGCCTAGCAACTGGACATTTTGAACTTAAAAGGTTTAATAGATGTGACTTGTTTTAAATAGGCTCAAATTAAAACTTAAAGCCATAATTTTTTCCAGAACAATATTTGTTAGTACTATAATCATATTTACATAAAATAACTTTCCTTTCTGCTTGTATGTCAGTAAGCATTTTGTAAGGTGCTGTAGAATTCCCTGCCAGTAGACAGTTTCTGGTTTCTCCCTAAATCTGTAACAAAATACCAAATAAATAAAAACTTCCATCAATTAATAAACCTGATTCTCACTTGTTTTCTTTAGATAGGAGACCTGATAGTCAGATAATGATTTTTCCAGTGCAAAAATTATTATTGTCTAGGAATCAAGGTTGAGAACTGTGCAGTCACAACTGAGAGCAACACACACTTACAATGAAACTGCCTTTTGTGAAACACTAATATAATCCAAAGTTTAGAAGTAATACAATGTGTGGAATGGCAGTAGTGCTTGTGTGTATGTTGTGTTTAAGGAGAATTTTAAAAATGAGGTTCAGACATAAAAATGCTAGCTCCAGTTCTGACATTAAGGAGAACCATACTCTGCCTCATATGCGTGTATTCCTGCTATGGTGATTCTTGAATGTGCTAATCTAGGAGCTGTCTCGGGTGTTGAATACTGCCTTGCAGATTGGGAGTTGGTCTTCTTTAAGCAGGGCTGGCCAATTAATTTCTCCAAAAGGGCTACATAAGAAACTGGGATTGTTGCAGAGACTGAAGCAATAGGGCTGTACACTTATTTACATTCAATTTCTAATTTCCAATTGACCTCATGCATGGCCAGACAGGGACGGCAAAAGTTTCAGATAAGGAATAACAGAATAACAGAGTTGGAAGGGACCTTGTGGAGGTCTTCTAGTCCAACCCCCTATTCAAGCAGGAGACTCTATACCATTTCAGACAAATGGTTGTCCAATCTCTTCTCAAAAACCTCCAGTGATGGAGTACCCACAACTTTTGAACGCAAGCTGATCCAGTGATTGTTTTCACTGTCAAGAAATTCTCTCCTTAATTCTAGGTTGCTTCTCTCTTGATTATTTCTCCTTGATCGTTTCTTGTCCTGCCTTCTGGTGTTTTAGAGAATAGCGTGACTCCTCTTCTTTGTGACAGCCCCTGAGATACTAGAACACTGTTATCATGTCACCCCCTAGTCTTTAGGGGGTGACTAGACTAGACATACTCAATTCTGCAACTGTTCTTCATATGTTTTAGCCTAGGTCTTCCAGTCAGTCATAAAAACCCCTCTAAGTGCAAGCATCCAAAGTAAACCATCTTTAACTAGCCTCTGTTTGAATCATCTAATGAATGAGAAGCCTCCATCTATCATGATATAGGTAGTCCTCCATTTAAAACCAAAATTGTAAACAGGATTTTTGTTGTTAAACAAAGCAATTCTAAAACGAATTGCTGGAAAGGTTGCAGGTGGTGATTCTATGATCCCTAGGATGCTGCAGGCATTTATAAATATATCCCGGTTGCCCAGTGTTTGAATATTGGTCACATGACTTTGGGAAAGGTATGATGGTCATAATTATGAGGACCAGTCATAAGTTACTTTTTTCAGTGCCATTGGAACTTTGAATGGTTGTTAAACACCACGTTGTAAGATGAGGACTGTATGTAATTGGTTTCTCTGCCAAACTGCTCTTAGTATCAGAAAACTATTCTTTATAATATTCGGCTGGTAACTACTTTCCGGTAACCCAGAATAACACATTATTCTGTGTCCTGAACTCTGGAATGAGAGAACGGAAGTTTTATGACTTTGGCTGCTTGCTGTTAATTGATAGAGCACTCAGTGGATATGCCAAGGCAAAGATTTTTGACTTTCAAAAGAAATGTATGTGGCTCAAGGTTGAAGTGTGGAGATGAATGGGACTAGCCACAGGGAGCAAATTCCACACTCACCAAAACTAATGATGTTACCTAGCCAGATAATAAAGCATCTGGAAACAAGCAACCAATCTCAGAGAGCACCTTTTTTATCTTAGTATTTTTTTTTAAATGCAAAAAACAAATCAGAATTATTCTTTCTTATTGCAAGCACTGCTGGGAACAAGATCTCTAGCAAAGATGTAAGAGTATTGTGAACACATGTGCCTTTCATCGCACAAATAGTTTTACAGGCTTTTAAGATATCAGAGGACAGGGGAAACAATGCAAGGGTAACTGTGGTCCCATGGAATGTAGAAAAACATACTTTTTAAATATATTTCTTCAGAATTGAATACATAGTCACTGCAAATCCTACTTCGGTTTATGATTGTGTTTGATAACTTCTTTGATAACACAACAGAAAAAAGCACAAGAGACTCTTGAAGGATTAAAATTCTAATATAAATTTCATATCAAAGCACAAAACTGAGCAAAGGACTCTTTTCTTGCAAGGAATGGATCCTATATTCACATGATCTGCATATCCATGGTTAATATAACCATGATTAATTGAATTACATTCTTTTTCTGGAAGTGTACAAGGCACCAAACAATTAATAGTACCACTAAGTTTGTGCAGTATGCTTAGGCTAAAGTTCGGTTGTCTAATTTGTGGATTAGTAGTATGTTGTATCAAACCAACTTCATCATTCCCAGTGTTGGAGACAGCTGCAGTGGGAATATATCTTATCATCTGAAATAGCCAACTCATCTTTACAATGTTTTTGTCCATTCATTTCAAGCATATTTTAAAATAATTCCAGCATGTAAACAATGTTAGGTAGCTTTGTAATAACCATTTGATCATGTTTTATAAAAGCTAATATTTGATTTTTTTGCAGTTATTTGCTGTGCTAATCTTTATTATTAAATATACAGAGAGAATACTGACCTAGTTTGTACAAAATTGGTTTTATCATGACTTGTTGAATAAAGCATAATTGGTTAAATTTATACAAGGCACTAAGTTGAAAACTATTGTTGCAAAAATAAATTAATTTACACAGAAGATTACCCCAGCTTCCACCCCAACCTCAATTAATTAGGATTTAGTCAAACGTATCAAATCAATCAAAATTCTGTGTTTAAAATTCTTCACTTTTCCCATTTTTATCTTTTTGCTTGATCTCCAAAGAGACCAGATAAATATATACATTGTTTGTCTCTACTTTGCTGTTCAGAAGAATTTGCCTTCATTGTTTTCCCCATTTTTTCCTTGTAATCATTCTATAAAAATTGACAGAGGCATTAGCTAGCTAAATGTGCTGAATGGAAAAAATAAATTCAAATC